TAAATAAATAAAATCTTTAAAAAATAAAAAAATAAAAATGGAAACTTTATAAAAAATACCAATTTGTCTAAAATTTGTAATTAAAAATCCATACTCAATAAAAACAAACCCAAGCAATACCTTTCTCAGATTTTATTTAGTCACTGAGAATCTGTGCATCACACACTAAGCTAGAAGAGTACTATTTCCATAGAATAATGATCACTATATAAGTTGATTTTAAATACTATGTAAAAAAACAAAGTGAGAAAATTATTTGCTTACTGTATTACCTGTTTTAACATGAAGGGGAGGAAGAACATTCACGTTGTGAGGTGGCAAAATGTAAAGCAGCTGATTGGCGAAATAGGCAGCCATGAAACGAGCCATGGACTGGATAACCGTCACTGCCGCTTCAGGAACAACATTTCTAGTCATTCCAAACTCACAGTGAGACTTCTCAGGAACTAAGGAATACAGCAAATGACCAAAGGAGATTCTGATCAAACTATCAAAAAGCAATAATATTTAAGTTCCCAACATTATACAAGAAGAAAATTATAATTAAAATTTTTTTTCTCAGATGAGCACCCACGACCTGTATGAGCTAATTTATAATAGGTATCTATGCTTCTTGAGGACAATAAAACAAAAATAGTTAGCTCACAATTATGAGCACACGCACTTAGGAATACTGATGACTTCAAGTTACCAGTTTTATTTTAAAACACAGAACGATAAATACAAAACAATCCAGCCATGATGGACTTGCAAGCTTATATTTCATTATTTTCCCTTTTCCTTCCCTTTCCAATGTTTTTTCTTTGATGAAAGGAGGCAGAGTTTACTATAAAAATAATCTGAAAATCAGCACTAGAACAGTGACTTTTTTTTTTTTAAGATTTTATTTAGTGAGAGAGAGAGCACAAGCGCAGAGAGGGGCAGAGGGAGAGGGAGAAGTAGACACCCCTGCTGAGCAGGAAGCTAATGCTCAATGCTCGATCCCAGGACCCTGGGATCATGACCCGAACCAAAGGCAGCCGCTTAACTAACTGAGCCACCCAAGAGCCTCTAGAACAGTAATTCTTAATGCCTGTTTTCTGTACCATTACATCTGGGGATTAGGATACACTCCCATCAGTAAGAGTGGCTCACTATTGTAAGATTCTTTGGGGAGGGAGGGACAAGAGGAAAATGTGGGGTGGAGGGAGAAAATGGGTGGGGGAGCAGGAATTACATCAGGATTTCTGAGGTGATTCTGATATATAAACTGCAGGAGCAAATGTGCCGTCCCTATTTGAGAATCAAAACTCAGTAATATAAACTGGCATTCAGAGATCTGAAAATAGTTAAGCTAGTAAATATAGATAAATACAAAGTTAACATTAATTTTTTATAAATTTATGGCCCCAGGGCACCTGGCTGGCTCGGTCAGTTAAACATCCAACTCTTGATTTCCGCGCAGGTTACCATCTCAGGGCTGTGAGATTGAGCCCCAGGTGGGCTTGCGCTGGGTGTGGAGCCCACTCGGGATTCTCTCTCTCCCTCTCTTCCCCTCTCTAATTAATTAATTGATTAATTAATTAATTAAAAAGAAAATTTATGGCCCCAACAATAGCAAAATATTTTTCTTCCCCAGAAATCACTTGACACATATTCACAAGAATATTAAGTTCTATATTCATATGAACCACTTCTATCTTGTCACTGTATACCTCAGCATGTAACACTCTTCCTCTCACAGAGTAGGCACTCAAGATTATTGTTAATAAGCTCTTCTTAATAAAGAGAATCTTAAGAAAATCTTTTTTTTTTTTAAGATTTTATTTATTTATTTGACAGAGAGAGCGAGAGAAGGAACACAAGCAGGGGGAGTGGGAGAGGGAGAAGCAGGCTTCCTGCCGAGCAGGGAGTCCTATGCGGGGCTCGATCCCAGGACCCCAGGATCATGACCTGAGCCAAAGGCAGACGCTTAACAACTGAGCCACCCAGGTGCCCTTTGAGAAAATCTTATTAGCCTTCAAACAGTATTCTTCATTTGGTCATTTAAAGAAAGTCTGGAAAAACCATACTATTTCTTCACATTGAACTTAAAAATACATGGGTATGAATAATTTTCTCCTGCATTAACCTTGCTGTAGGAATTATACAAAGGTAAGATTTCCAGTAATTCTAATCATATAAAACTCATTATTGGAAACTCAAAAATAAGCTCCTTAAATGGGGAGCAACCTAATTCTAAAGGATAGTCACAGAGTAAAACTGTATCAATTCAGAAGTAAAAAAATTTGAAACAGTAATTCTGTATGTGGTACCCTGATGATGTTAATAATGGCAAGCTTATGCAATAAAAATTAAATTATGACTATATACAATGATGTAATAAGGTAAATGTGCAGAAAAGAGATAACAGAACAGGCCTGACTACTTGAAATGCTTGCATATAATGTTGGCCCTTGGATGGCATCTGGGAACTTGGATTTGGGAAAGATTTCCACCACCTTAAATGATGAGAATGGCTTACTGGACCTGTTTGTACACACAATGTGGTTTATGCTGAACACTTGTTTTTTTTTTGAGAGTATAGAATTTTGGTATGGGCTAGGCAGAGAGGGCTAACCAGACTAACTAGACTCTAATTAAAAACGCTGGGCACTGGGGCGCCTGGGTGGCTCAGTTAGTTGGGCGACTGCCTTCGGCTCAGGTCATGATCCTGGAGTCCCGGGATCGAGT